CGCTGTCTTTCTCTGAACTCACTGCAAGCCTCTGGTGTTAACTCTTGTCTCACTGCATTCAGATTATGTATTAAAATAGTGTCTCTTTAAGTTGCATATGTTCGTCAAGGGCAAGGGCCAGTCTTTTTCAACATTTCCCCAGCTATGCCTGTTGTTTGCCTCGCATAAGCGGATTTTAAACAATTGTCTGAATAGAATTATTTTTTTTTTTCTAATGGATGTTTTCCCCAGTGACTTCACAAATGGCTCTCTGTAAGAGAAGAAATTTAGGTTAAATTTGTCATAGTTCAAACATCAAAAACTAACTCTTACTAACTTTTCAGAGTTTTCTAATGCACTTTTCCATAGTGCAGCCACCATGGAGAATAGTATGGAGCTTGCTCAAAAAATTAAAAATAGAACTACCAAAAGATCCAATTACCCCACTTCTGGGTATATTTCCAAAGGAAATGAAAATAGGATGTTGAAGAGGTATCTGCACTCCTATGTTCAGAGCAGCATTATTCACAGGAGCTAAGATGTAGAAACAGCCTAAGTGTCTACTGATGGATGATGGATAAAGATGTGGTATATAGATAAAAATGGAATATTATTCACCATGAGAAAGAAGGAAATCCTGTCAGTTGAGACCACAGTGGTGGGCATTGAGGGCATTATGCTAAAAGAAATAAACCATACAGAGACGGATGACACTGCATGGTGTCACTTATATTGGAGTCGGGAAAAGAAAAGAAAAATGTTGAACTCACAGAGACAGAGAGTGGAAGTGTGGGTGCCAAAGGCTGCAAAGGAGCAGGGAGGTAGAGAGAGATTGGTTAAAGAGTACAGACTTTCAGCTACAAGAGGAAGAAATGAAGAGCTAATAAAACAAAGGGATTATAGTTGATAACACTGGTCTATAATTGAAGTGTTCTAAGAGAATAGAACTTAAGTGATTGCATACACACACTAGCTGACCTATGTAAAACAGAAAAGAAAATTTTTGAAGGGTGCCTGGCCATTTGGGAAGGGGATACGAAAGCTAGACATCAAGCTCAGAGGACAAATCTACCAAAACCACAGTCAAATTCCCTTTTCATGTGGTTAAGTTGTCTTCAGGGGCTCTGCTGACATTATGGCCATTCAACACTGTTGCTTTTGTCCACGACTGTTAATAAAATCCCCATCATGTCCCTTGATCCAGACTTAAAGTCCCAAGCAAAGCATGCTGTCAACTGAAGCCACATCTGTCTCTGCTGATGGATCTGTGAGCTGTCCCTTTCCCCTGGGACCATCTTCCTTCTTCAGAAGGAGACGCGTCCTGCCCCGATCAGGATCCTCACCATGGAGACATGCCCTTCCATAAGGAAGAACGTTTGGCTCTTGGACTTCCAAAGCAATGAAAATGTCCACTGAACAGACGAGAGGGTTCTGAACCATTGCTCCAAAGAGCAACCTTCCACAGAATTTTTAAAGATATAAATAAGAGAGATTCCTGGCTGTCTGAAAAGCTTTAGATAACAGTTCCTCTGTGAAACAGAGATGGATTGAAATACAATATGTTCCTGCACAGCAATCATCTCCTGAATTGCCAGAAATACTTTCCTGTCAATGTCTTATCATAAGAAGCCTGAGAGCTGGAATCTCGAATTACAATTCTTTTTCTTTCCCGCAGGATCTTGCTACAAAGATTTGGTAAGGCGATGCATCTCCTCCCCCAAGTCGGCTGTCTCCATTTGTAACTGATACTACATACAGCAGGGAAGCATCTGTGTTTCAGAAAAAATGATGTGTGAAAACAGTTTTCAAAAATGCATGCTTTCTACATTAAAAAAAAAAACTAAAAATATGTTTGGTTACCACTTTGTAGAGCCTATTGAATTTGGCTGTGAATGGGAATCTAATTGCCATCCATTTCTATTGGAGCTTTCTATGAACATGACATTTCCATTAAAAAAAGAAGTCAGCTACAGCATTATGATGTGGATGCTGAAATCGTAAAAAAAATTAATGACTAGTTGGTTGGTTAATAATTTATATTTCTTCTTTGCAGCCCATTAGAGGAAATAAGCAAAGCCACAGGTACAGAAAAATATCATTTGTGTTGGCAAAGGTAAAAGGAATATTCTTGCTAAGTGTTACAAATAGCTCCTTGGTTTTGAATGATGACTACTGACTATTCTCTTATTTTTCATTTATAACAGGAGAATGTCTTCTTTGTCATCTGCTCTTGTTACTGTGGGGTTGGCATCAAAATATTATCACTTGCAGGGCTGAATAAGGGCTGAGGGACCCACAGCTTGGGTTACAGGGTCCAGACTTCAACTACACTTGTTGCCAAAGAAAATCTATTCACTCCTCCATGCATGGCAGGAATTGTACCATATTTTCTTAAACTTTGTAGCTCGATGTTCGTGAGCAGCACTGCTTCTCCTTTCTTTCTGGCTTTTCTTTTTCAGTAATTTGAAGACCAGTACCCATTTGATGAGTTGGACAGTCTGTTTTTAATAATTTTCTTTTTCTTTTGGTGAGCAGTTGGCAAAGGGAAGGGGTTATTTCGTTCAGATAACGAGATTTGCAGTTAATAAGGTAAAAGCACACAACGATGCCAGATTAATGTTTCCCAAGCACAGCTCCAATTAACATCCAGCCTGATTAATCTAATATCTCTAACTCTCTCCCTAATTAAGTCCAGAATTCTACCCCTGGACTTCAAGTGTCTTCACTTGATGGCCTTTATCTGTCTTCTGATGTTTTATTCTACGGTTTTCCTATATGTATTGTATAGACCACCTCAGTGGTTCTCAATCCTGGCTGCAGATCAAAATTGCATGTGAAGCTTTTTTAAAAAAAAAAAAACACTGATGCCCAAGGCCCACTGTATGCTAACTGAATATGAATCTGGGGGCGAAGCACAGGCATCAGTCTGGTTTTTCTGTCTTCGGGTTCTTAAAAGCTCCGTCTTTTCTTTAGCTACTGTTACAAAACAAAACACTCCAAGATTTATTTGTATAAAACAGAGGCCATTTTAATATGCTCCCAAATTCTGTGGGTCAAGCCTTCAGAAGAGATACAGCGCTGATGGTATGTCTCTGATCTCTGATGTTGGGGATCTTGGCTAAAAACCACAAATGGATAGGTGTGTATCAAATAGCTAGTTGCTGGGATTATCTAGAGGCTTCTCTATTTACTTTTTTGCTGATTAGGCTGGAATGTGTCAGAGGCTGGACTCAGCTGGTACTCTTAGCCAGAGTGTCCACATGTGTTTCTCCATACAGGCTCCTCAAGAAATGGTGGCTCAAAGGGGCGCCTGGGTGGCTTAGTTGGTTAAGCGTCCGACTTTCGCTTAGGTCATGATCTCGCGGTTCGTGGGTTCGAGCCCTGCGTCGGGCTCTGTGCTGGGGGCCAGCTCAGAGCCTGGAGCCTGTTTCAGTCTGTGACTCCCTCTCTCTCTGACCCTCTCCTGCTCACGCTGTCTCTCTCTCTCACCTAGAAATAAATAAAATTAAAAAAAAAAAAAGAAAGAAATGGTGGCTCAAGGTAGTCAGATCTCCCGAGGAAGCCCAGGCGCAAATAGTCCACTGAAAAAGGTGGAATTGTGGGGCCTTTTACACACCTAGCCTCAGTAGGCACATAGCATCCGTTCTGCTGCATTTTATTCAGGGAAGCAGTTGGGAACCTTCAGGGGAGGGGACCCACCTCCTTATAGGAAGCCTGTCAACGAATTTGTGGCCATATTTTAAAGCTGCCATATACCCTGGTTAATTAAGTCCACTGTAGAGCCAGAATGGAGAACAACTGGATCCATATCTTGCAAATACTTACCTGTGGAGCAAGGCTGGGACTTGAGTGAGGTGGATGAGACCGCTAGGGTGCAGAATTGAAGAAGGCAGTCATTCTCTGGATCGTGCAGGAAAGCATCTCCTTATACTTTGTGCCGCCCAAGGCACCTTCCTGGCCTCATGGTGGTCCTGATCCTGCTATGGAGCGTTTGTATATGAAGCAAGAGTCAGAATGGGACTCCACTTCCTGAGTCTCATACTTTGATATTCTGATTCAATAAGCCTGGGGTAGGAAATGAGATTCTGCATGTTTCGAACGAATCCAAGTGGACTGATTACAGAGTCCATGTGCTTTCCTGGTACCTTGCCTTTGTTCATGCTATTCACTCTGCCTTGAAAGTCCTTTCCTTCTCTTTCTATTCACTATGGACTATCTACCAATGTTTAAGATCCATTTCAAATACTGCCCCTTTTATCAAGCAAAGGTCCCAACAGCCGGAGTATAAACTGCTCCTCCTAAGAAACCCATAGCACTTTTTATATGCCTTAAGACACTCACATTTTGTCTAGTATGATTTGTGGACACATATTCTAGCAAGAACATATTCTCTTTCTTAGGAGGCCACAAAATGGAGATCTGGATCCACCCCATCAGTTCTCATAGGTAAAGTCTTTTTAAAACATGGTACCATTCTCTGACTCATCTTGCTCCCAGATTGTTCTAACCCACACAACAACTGGCATGCTCCTTGCACGTTTAGATGCCCAGTAAACAGTGGATACCTCTCCTGATGAAAGGTTAGATTCCCATTTTTGCATCCTTCATGGAAGCCCCCCAATATTGAAAAATCACCCTAGTTGAAATGCTTAAGCATACATAGGGGCTGCATCCTTTATTGTGACTTCTCTTTTGGAAAATTTCTTGCTTGAACTTTACCTGACAATCTTTTCCACATAGCAAAAAGGTATTTTTTGTTGTTGTTTGGTTGAGGTTTTTGTTGTTGTTGTTGTTGTTGTTGTTTTTAGGCTCACTCTACGCAGAGCCCTTACCACTACTTTTGCAGATGCCAATCCCACATGTAAGCCGCAGAAGCCTCTTAGGTAAGCACCATTTTCGTGACCAATGTAGTGATGAATAAAACTGGGGCTTAATGATTTAGCAACTTGGTAGATCACAAAATAACAAAGCAACTGAGGCAGGTTTCAAACCTAGACCTCAAAGATGCCAAATCACTACCCCCCCCCGCCCCCATTAATCGGTGATGTCCATTAAACCCACCCACCTTTGAGGAGGGTGGGGCGGACAGGTTAGCCTGGTCGAAAAGCAAAGTTGGCAAAATCTCTTCGAATCTCCTTGGACTCGTAGGGTCCGCCACGGGGTAGGTTCGGGGCGCCTGCAACGCGGCGCCGCGGTTCTCCGGACACACGCCCTTGCCTCCCGGCGCTCGGTCACCTCCTCCCTGGCGGCACGTGGGTGGAGCGGGGGCTCCAGGGTCGTCTCGGGCGGCGGCCAATGGCTGTGAGGGGGTCAGACTCGGTTCCCCGCGAGGGGCGCAGCGGTTGCTAAGTGCCGCGATGAGACGGATCCGGCGCCAGCAGCCCAGGGAAGGGGGAGGCGCGAACGAGAGCGCGTGGGAGCGCGGAGGCCGGAGCCGGGAGGCGGAGAGCGACGCCGGGGAGGCGCGCGGGCGCGAACGCACGCCCGGGAGCCGGAGCCCGGCGGCAGTGCGGCCGCGCCCCTGCCCGAGCCCGTGCGGCCGCCCAGCCCCGCTCCGCCCGCCGCCGCCGTCTGGGCTCCCGAGGATGGAGGACTCCCGGGAGACGTCGCCGTCCTCCAACAACTCCTCCGAGGAGCTCAGCTCTGCCCTGCAGCTGTCCAAGGGCATGTCGATCTTCCTCGACGTAAGTACGGAGCAAAGGAGTTGGGTCCTGGGTCCCCCCGCCCCCCCACCCCCCCCCTCGCGGCTTTCCTCTTCCCCTGGAAGAGGGTGGTCAGTCCAGGCGCTGATCAGCAGGTGTTTCGCTACCTCCTGCCTCGCTCTCCTGTCCCCCTGCAAATGCACCGAGGCGAATGCGGGAGAATGATTGCCACTCAACTTGTAAAAAGGGTTGTCTTGCACCTGCAGCTCGGGGCTTAACAACCTTGAAGGGATGGCAGAAGTTAAATTTTCCAACGGCGTGGGTTTCACTGGGGACCAGATTTGTAATTACAACAATCTCGTTTCGGGAGAATAGAGCGTTTTCAAGGGGACTGAGGGAGAGAGGGAGGGAGGGAACGTAATTATCTCAACTCATCTCTGATGTGCCTGGTTTGCAGTTCCCAGTCTCCCTGAAGCTCCTGGGCGACGGGGGCAGCATTCGGGATTGCGGGGCCTCCCCACCCTTTCCTAGCCCCCAGGGAGAACAATTACTTTCAGTACATCCTTGTTTTTCTTTTTTTAAAGCGGTGGCCAAGATCCCTTTCATGCTGTTACTTTTATCACCGCCACCTCCCATTTTTCCGTTTTCCTCTCCTGTTATTCTTCTCTATACTTCTCCAAGTTTTAATAGCTGTTCATCAATTCTAGCGTTTGACTGCTCTTCCTTTGGGCCTCTCCCTCCCTTCTGTATTGATGCCCTTCGTTCATGTCTCTGATACGGTGATCGTTCTTTCTCATTCTCCGTTTTCTTTTTTTCTGTTTTTTCTGCCCCCGCACCGGGGTTTTTATCTGTATAGCAGTTTTGTTTCTTGTTTATTTCTCAATTTTACAGTTCCTTTCTGATGTTCTGTTCTTTCATTTTTTTCACCCTGTCGCCCAGCTCTTTGCTGCTAGGGTCAGTGGTTTCCCTATCCCTCAGTTGCCTGCCGGCTTGGGCTCCTTCAGCCCCTGCATTGTCACATTTATGCTGTGACTACCCTGGAGGTAGTTGCTGGCTCAGTGAGGACAATTCTGGCCACTTATTTAGACATGATAGAAAATTGGCAAAATGCATCGAGGAGTGCTGCATGCTCTTTCTTCTACCCTTCCCTGAGATCCTCTCTTATTAAAATCCAGGGGTATTTACAATTAGCATTTATTTGTGGAGAGATGAAAATATCAGGAAATCAACTCCTTAGTATCATAATGGGGAAGTAGATGTCATGAAGATAAGGAGGATGGAGTGAGGAGCCCCCCAAGTTTCTTTTCAGCGGATTAGCTGGGATTTTTAATTGTGAGAGAAAACTGTATTGATCATTAAATCTGGTGGGAGGCAAATGTTCTAGGTAAGACCCAGCTGTGCTTCCTGGGAGCGCCCTCCCCGGTCATCCTGCAGTTCCCATTGGGGATCCAGGCACCCAGGCCAGCCATCTTCTTCCCACCAAAACCATCGGGTTCCCATTCCTTGTCTCAGTAGGTTTAAGTGCCTTATTCTTTCTCAGCACTTATCTCTGCTTGGCTCTGGTCAGTCAGGTGATGTTTTGGCGCTGGTGGTTCAACTGGCTGATATTATTCATTAAACTATTCATTAAATCCTGCCATTCTGGGCCAAAAAGCCCGTGAGGAGACCAGGCTGGGAGATGGAAGCACACAACACATGGAGAAGGGAATCTTCAGGGACAATATCTGGGTCCCAGGAACTCATGTCTGTTAGGAGGTGGATGGCTAAGCCACCATGGAATTGATTCAGAGAGGACCGTGTGTTCATCCTGGCCTCATCTTGACCGGGTCCCCTGAGGATATCAAGTGCGTCTCTGTGACTTTTTTGAAGCAGTTAAATCCTGGTGATACTGTCAAGATGAACGGATTGAACTGTATACGTGGAAGTCATCCTCCTCGACACACACACTAATCTTGGCCCAGGTGTTCAAACTGCTGTTAAAAAGGAGGAAATTAAAATCTTGTTTATTGTTCTATATACATGATTGTTCTCAAGCTCTGCAAATAAACAGCATCAGGTCCCTGTCCTGAAGGAACATGTGCTCTATGAATAGGACACCCTGCCTTCTTGTATCTATTTCTGGAATTTAAAAATAAAAATACAAAACTGATTTCACATGAGAGGTGTTGACATGCTTGTTTGCCAGGAAAATGCTAGTGTCTATTAAAAAAAAAACCTGCCACTGGATTTTATCTTGAGTAGAAGAGATTTTGTTTACACTTTTTCTTTGAGATATTTTGTGAAAAAGCCAGCACTCTGGTGAAATATGTGACATGAAAAAGGATTTGTTACTTAAGGATTTTTGAATTATTCATTTCTGGATCGTATTGCTTTTAGCAAAAATAAAATGTGAAATATAAATACATAATTTACTCGATTTGTTTTAATATATTCTAGTAGCACTGCTAAGCAAGATTGCTTTTGAATTCTATTCAGAGCATAATAAGTCAGTAATAGAAATCCCCTATGCCAAAGGGGAACAGGAATGAAGTCCATCAGAGTCTTCTACGTCACATGGACTGATTTCCAAATTTGAGGAAATCTTGGATTTTTAGTGTTTATATTCCAAGGCCACTGTACCAATGGGTCTTCTGCGTGATTTTGAGGGTACCATTGCCGACATGACTAGATATATCCAGCTGGTAGGAAGCTAGCCACGGATCAGAAAATCAGAGAGGGATGTACCACCCCTATTGGCTGTTGCTTCATTTTCTTATGTCGAAATCAGCAATCATGATGAGTGTCACACTTAATTCTAGAGTTGTTGTTTTATTTAAAAAAATTTTTTTTTATTTTTTAAAATTTATTTATTTTTGAGAGAGAGAGACAGAGTGCGAGCAGGGGAGGGGCAGAGAGAGAAGACGACGGAATCTGAAGCAGGCTCTAGGCTCTGAGCTGTCAGCTGTCAGCACAGAGCCCGATGCGGGCTCGAACTCACGAACCTTGAGATCACGACCTGAGCTGAAGTCAGATGCTTAATGGACTGAGCCACCCAGGTGCCCCTAGAGGTATTGTCTTAAATGCAAGTTCGTAGGATAAGAAAACGAAGAACAGGAAAAGGAAGTGTGCTATATAAATTTGAACCATTACGGGTAGTTCATTGTTGCCTTTTGAATGCCTAAATCATAGTAGCCAAATCCACAAATTAATACAGAGACTGTTTCATTAGAAATCGAATTTATCATATTATATTCTAGCTAAAAAATGACAGAATTACATATTGGTTCCTCATAAATACTCTTGAATGCCTCCTGGGGGGCTGAGAAACCCCAGGGCTGGTGCCAAGGCCTGCGTGTGCACTGAGGCTGGTGCAAGGCATTTGCACTGTGCTCGCGTGACTCCCACAGGAAAGCGGCTTCCCTGGGGGCCGTGCACAGCAACAGGGGAGGACCAGGTGGATGATGGTGCTTTTCCTTCTTAACATCTGTGTGCTGTTTGTCCCCAGGTTCGTTCATTCCAGCTAACAGAGAATAAACTCGAATTTAGAATATGAGTCCATATAGCCTGTGGTCCCTCGTTGGAATCAACATATAAATCAACTCTGCTTCTGTGCAAAGGGAGAAAATCAGACCCTCGCATCATCCCCCAAAGCAAGATAATGAAGTGAAGTTAGTTATAACTTCACTGCTTGATGCCACTTTCTTCTCCCAGTTTTGTTTGATTTTAAACTGCAAGGGAAGTGGCCCTTCCTCATTTTGCTAGAGGCAGAAGTGGGGCCTGGAGGGTTATGAAGGAGAGAGATGTGTGTCTTCCCTCCCTTCCCCAACCAAGCGTGCACACTCATGTACGCTGAACAAAATGCACCAAGGCCTGGATGGTCAGGGGCTTGGTGAAAATAAGGAAGTAGTTTTCCTTGGAAAGATACTTAATTCTGAAGCCCTGTGTATATGTATATATTCTCATCTGTCTAAGAGGCGAGATGGACAGAGGACTGGAAACAGGTTTCCAGGTATAATGGCTCCGTGACCGAATTCTCTCAGAGCCGTATACCTCCTATCTTGCCTAGTGCACGCTAGATAATTTGAGTGAGCTTGTTCAGTTGGGCGAATGGCAATTAACTCTAATTGGCAAGGCAGATATGACTCTCCTAGTTTTTTTTTTTTTAATTTTTTAAATGTTTTTATTTATTTCTAGGAGAGAGAGAGAGACAGCGTGAGCAGGGAAGGGTCAGAGAGAGGGGGAGTCACAGACTGAAACAGGCTCCAGGCTCTGAGCTGGCAGTCAGCACAGAGCCCGACGCGGGACTCGAACCCACGAACCGCGAGATCATGACCCAAGCGAAAGTCAGACGCTTAACCGACTAAGCCACCCAGGCGCCCCATGACTCTCCTAGTTTTAAGACCTGGCAGAAGTAAGGGAAACTTAGTTTAAATGTTACCATACACTTAAACCTGTTTTCTCACACAAGGCCTACCCCAGGCAAAATTGAGAAGATAAAAGTGTTTGTGCTGATTACCTTTGCCCATTCATCATTCAGTGGCCACTTCCCTGCATCCTTTTTTTTTTAATGTTTATTTTTTTTGAAAGAGAGACAGACAGACAAACAGAGGACCCAAAGCAGGCTCTAGGCTCAGCACAGAGCCTGATACAGGGCTCGAACTTACAAATCGTGAGGTCATGACCTGAGCCAAGGGCAGACGCTCAACCTACTAAGCCACCCAGGCGCCCCTGTCTTCCCTGCATCCTATCTCTTGGCAACTGGTGGAGTGGTAGTAAAACTACCAAGGTCAAAGTCCACACACTGTGATTTCCCTGGTAGGTCTTCCCTTCTGGATGGAACCCCTGTTCTGAATAAGAACCAAATTCCCTGCCCTATGTCCTCATTTCTCAGGAGTTTTACTGGCTCATCTCATTACCTGTTTTTAACCTGGTACACAGTAGAAAGCATTTAGCAAATATTAGTTCAGTAAATAGTGACTGTCAGTTTTTTCAGCCTTCAAGACAATATTTGCATCTTAACACTTGCCTTGAATAATCTCAGGTGAGAAATGAGAAATTTTAACGAAGACCATCAAAGAATAGCCTTTAGGGTAAAGGATGCTATTTGGTAGCCCTTAAATTGTTGCCAAACCACAGCATAAACGGAATTTGAGTTTTGATTCTCACTATAATATTTGCATCTGTTTACTATGTATCTTGTGGTAGCAACTGGTAAGATTAGTCAATTCAGATTACTATGATAGCATAATGTATTGAACCCAGCTCTCATCTGCGTTACATTTTTTATTAGTCTGTGGGCTCAGAGGCAAAATTTGCAGCAGAGACAGTTCTGTTCATATTTAATTACTAAGAACTGTCTTAATAAAGAAAGCTACTGTCTTAATTTCATTGCTAACAGGCTGAATGCTATTTAAGATAGTTCTTTATGAAATGAAATGAAGGAAGTCCTGGGTCCAAGTCTCTGGTATGTGGTTATTTCTATTCTAGTTACTTTGAACTCTTAAGGACACAATAGAGCTTGAAATAGAATCTTAGAACATATTAAAGGTAAGAATTAGGCTGTGTTTCATGTCTCCCTGCCTCTCAGCTGGGGCTTCATAGTTTCAGGGAAGAGGAAGAAGCTGGTTATGATGGAGAGATGGATTCCCAAAATCCCCACTAGAAATTACCTCTATGGAATAGAATGAATTTGTGTCCCATTCTGCTTTAAGCATAGGAGTTCTTCCTACCAAAAGCATTTCTCTTGCAATTTATAAGCTAAATAAATTTAGTTTATAAAGGGGGACCAGTTTATGCACACAAGTCAGGAGGATACATGTCTGTTGTTGGAAATTTTTCATAGGTGAGGTTTTGGGTGATAATAGTGAACCATTATAAGAGTATAATAATGATTAGATTTAACCATACTTCATCTTCATGAAGTCAACAGAAGGAAAGGACGATAATGCTTCTGTAGCAGAAAGCAGTAAAACCAAAAACTTTGGTAATAAAAACGATTGCTCATCTTTCAAGCTGCCCATCAAGAAGTGATGACCTAAATCTAAGAGTAGCTCTGGTTACTTACCATAACTGTCTATTGGTCAGAAAAATGATCCTCAAGTGCCCCTTCATGTGACTCAAGGTTATCTTTGCAGTATGATAAAGGGATATTTTCTTTGGTAGTATATATAACATAATTGTGGTGTGCTATATTATCCAGATTATTTTTCTGTTAGCATACAGTATCAGCTAACAGATTGTTGCTCACGGAAAAAAATAAACTATCTTAAGATTTACAACAATACTTTACTGGCTCCTGCAATAAGAAGTAGAGACCCTCTTGTCAGGACGGCTTGATCAGGAGCTCAGAGAGTGTCCATTAGGATCCACTGTCTTTCCCTCTCTGGATGGACACTGCTTCCTTGAGGACTGGTTACGTCCAGCTTCTATGCTGTATACATTTCCTGTGGCTTCTATGACAGTGTACTTACGGCACACAGAGTGGCTCAAACAACCGCCTTCATTTTCTCAGTTCTGGAGGCTAGGTGGCTGACATCAAGGTGTGGGGAGGACCTTTCCCTCTGAAGGCTGTAGGGGACCCTCTGCGCAATGCCTGCCTCCTAGCCTCTAATGTCAGATTCCTTTACATTTTTTGGCTTGCAGCTGTACCAATACCTGCCTCTGTTACCATATGGTCTTCTCTCTGTCTCTGCATCTCTGAATCTCTCTCTTCTTATAAAGCCACCAGTCTTTGGATGTAGGACCCACTCCAATTCAGTAAGAGCTTATCTTCTTTTTTAAAATTTATTTATTTTGAGAGAGAGAGAGAGAGAGAGGCAGGCAGAGGGAAAGGTGAGAGAAAATCCTAAGCAGGCTCTGCACTCTCAGTTGAGAGCACAACGTGGGGCTCGAACTCACAAACGGTGAGATCATGACCTGAACCGAAGTTGGATGCTTAACCAACTAAGCCACCCAGGAGCCCCAGTAAGATCTTATCTTAATTTGATTACATTAGCAAAGACTAATATCAAACAAGATCACCTTCACAGTTACTGGAGTTTAGGACTTCAGTGTTTTTTTTGAGGATATAGTTCAACCCATGACATGTATAATAACAGAATGGTGGACAGCAGCTTCTTACCTATATCTTCCCAAGTTCAAAGTCAGCTGAAGAGAAAGTGTATCTCTTGTGATAATTCAAGCAAAACCATGGCCTTACTGTTCTCATGCCTGAGTAGTCACTGTGGGCCGAGTGATGTGACACCATTTGCTTAATCCCCTAGAGTGGAGGAAAAATGGATTTCCCAGAAGAAAATTGTGAAATCATTACTTAAGATACCTGATGGCCAAGCAGTTCCTATCCACTGAAGATAATATAATTAATGTATAGAAGTAAAGTAAGATACAGTACAGACACATGAGCTCTACCTATCCTTGATTTATTATTTTTTTGTTTCCATGTATTCCCATTTATTGAGATATGATTGACTTACATTAAGTTGCACATACTTAAAGTGAAAAGTTAATAAGTTTTTACTTATGTATATACCTGTGCAACCATTACCATAGTCGAGGTAATAAATATACTACCACTCCAAAAAGTTTTCTCATGTCCTTTTATAATGCCCTCCCTGCTCATTTGTATGCAACCCTTCATCTTCTTTCTGTCACTATAGATTAGTTTGCAATTTCTAGAGTTTTATATAAATGGAATCATATAGCAGGCATTCTTTTTTATCCTAGGTTTTTACTCAACATCATCACTTTGTAATCCGTCTGCGTTATTGAGTGTGTTCAAGAGCTCATTCCTCTTTATTACCCAGTAGTATTTGAGTGGATGTGCCACAGATTCTTTGTCCATCCATTTGCCCGAAGGAATTAGGTTGTTTTCGGTTTTTGACTATTATAAAGAAATATCTCAACTGGGAAACTTTTCTTTGAAATTGGAATTTCTTTTATTTAATAATGGGTGAATTATGTATGAATATAATCACTGCAGTTGCAAAAGTGGTAATAACGTTTTTTCCTTTTTTTTTCAGATACTGAGGAGAGCAGATAAAAATGGTAAGACCAAAAATCTGCAGTTTCTATTTATTAATCTCTTACCTTTTAGATCACCATATAAAAAGTTATATGGAAGAAAGACGAGAACCCAAGAAAATGGCACATAAAATGTCAGCCTCGTGTACTAAGACTTTTTAAGGCAAGTTTGTGGCTCCAGATATTCATAAGAAGTTGAAAAAGATACTTACTTTTGACAGGAGGATGGATTTTATGCCTTTGAAATGAGAAGCTGTCTTAGCTCTGGCTTTTTCCTTTTATGCTTTAATTTATGCTTTAATTTTAAAGTAATAACAGCTTCTATTGATTGAGTGTCTACTATGTGCCAGGTGTTGTGCCAAGTGCTTTGAGTTACTTCTTAGAGTTAACAAGATACAGATCTGAGACTTGAACTTGAGTCTGTGTGGCACCAAAGTCTTGGCTGTCCACACTGAACTTCATAGTGGCACTGGGGGCTACTGCTGTGCTCTAAGCTGGTTACCTAGAAGCCTCCGTTGCCAGATTTACCTCCTCTCCATGGCTTTTGCCCATAGCTCTTGCATTTGAATTATGTGCACTAGAAGTAATAATCTATAGGGACAGAGAAGTAGGTTGAAACTAGTATAAAAAAATTGTTCTGTCAGAGGATCTACAATTTAAATGATGCCTGCACGAAGTCCGATTATAAGCTGTCATAAGCGATGTCTTTTGACTCTTATTCCACTTCAAATTTTGTGCCGTAGAATACCAAATTAGAGCTTATTGAGTTTATTTTGCTGCTGTAGTACAAGTATATAATAGAGCTATATTCTTGACAAGACTTTCATGACAAATTAAGGATACAAAAAGAGTCCTTTCCTTTTCTTGAAATCAGATTTCTTATCTGTGGGGAAGGATTACAGGCAGAGTCCAGATCCAACACTTTAGAAACATTTGTTGTGGTCTAGTTAGCCCTTAAGCAGCCAGATCAGGAAAAGCTTGATTGCACTATATAGCTTTTCACACAACAGAAAAGATAATAACCCAAGGAGTTTCTGTCATGTGAGGGTCTGTTCCCAAATCCTGATACTTCATTGTACCTGTCCGTTAGGATGTTTTCTCAAACTGGGTTGCACTGGTTAATATATTATCAATTCAAAGGGACTTTTTTTCACCTAAATCACTTGGTTAATTTTTAAAAAAATATTTTTATTTATTTCTTGGGGGTGGGGAGAGAGAGAGAGAGACAGCGTGAGCAGGGGAGGGTCAGAGAGAGAGGGAGATACAGACTCTGAAATAGGCTCCAGGCTCCGAGCTGGCGGTCAGCACAGAGCCCGACGTGGGGCTCGAACCCACGAACCGCGAGATCATGACCTAAGCGAAAGTTGGACCCTTAACCAACTAAGCCACCCAGGCGCCCCACACTTGGTTAATTTTTAAGACAGATATGACTATGCTGTCATCTTGTCTTCTCATCCTACTTGTTGGCCTTAGGTCTGCCATCCAAACCCAGTGATGCCTGAGGCAACGACTGAACAGTCCATACGGCTCCATGCTACCTGCCTCATATTTTAGCAGCTGGTTCTAGTTCAGAGATACCTTTTCTCTCCCTCTACCCAAGCTCCTAGTTTTCTCAGGCTATACCTTTCTTTCCTTGGACCCCGGTGTCTCATTGAAGGTCATTATTACCTTTGTATATACCACTCTTCTTTCCACTAAAACTCACATCTCTTGATGGCCTATGGATCATAATCCATAGTCCTAATGAACAGCACCTAAAAAACCAGTTCATGATTTACTGGAGTTTGTGATAACTTCATATGTTATGCTATGAAGAATGGTCACTCGGACCCGGAGCCCGGTGTGGTCCTGTCCAGTCCCCTATTTTTTCACCTGCCTCCTTGCTGCCCCTTGTAACGTGCTGTCAGAGCTGCCTACCCTTCTGCTCTCATCCCCGCATCTTCACCACGCGTCCTCTTCTGCAGCTCTCCGAAGCACTAGGGATTCTCTGCGCATTGCTCCATCTGTCACACTTCTGTGGCGTTGTCCTTGCTTTGACTTCAACCTGTTCCACCCTTTCCATTCTTAGCCAGCTCACGCACTCTCCTGTATTGCTATCAGTTCTGCTCAGAGAGCACCCTATCTGCAAAGCCTTCCTCAGCTCTCCCTTGCAGGGCCCCAACCTTTCTATCTGTGCTCTGCATACTTTGGCTTGTATTGATTATGCCCTTTTGTGAGGACTACAGTTGTTTGCTGGTGATTCTACTTCTTTAAGCCAAACTTGCCTTTCTTGGTCAAGGAACTTGTCTTATGTGTAGATACGATACCCAGCCAGTCTTGGGTACTCAGTGGATGTTCATTTAATGAATTAGCAATGATTAATGACATTTTCCTCCATTACCCATCTCCTGGCTCTCTATCTACTCTTTCCTCTGCCTTTCATCCTGCTTTACTCTTCTCCCTAATTCTCAGTGTGAAGTGAGGGGAGGGAGACAGGAAGGTCTGAGTTTAAGTCACAGCTATGACACTTAGTAGCTTTGTGACTTAGGGTAAGCACAGGTAAGCTTAGGTAAGCTTATATAAGCTTACCTTATACATAAGCTTATACCTGCTCATTTTGTCACTATTATAATGATCAATATGATCAGTATCACTATTTAAAGCTTGAGCTATTTTGGGCTTGTGATGCCTTAGCTATTGGAGACACTTGGTGACATTCCAGTCATTTCTATTTCAGTGGAATTTAGTGGGGGAAAAAAAAGACTATTTACCATATATTCAGAATTAGAAAAGGGAAAAAGAATTGTGGATAATCTGATGTAAATGAGAAGATACCAACATTAAAAAACCATCTTTCTCAACCATTTGTTCATCCCATTCTGTATTTGCAAATAAACAGCTGCTACATGTACGTGATCTCTGGGAAACAGACCCTCATGTGACAGAATCCCTTATGGACTGCATAATTGGCGATGGAATAACAAAGGGAGTAAGAGGTGCTATGCAGTGTCTGCGTAGTGTGATCCTTAGCCTACCATATTTAGCTTTGGGGATCTATCTGACATGAGAGAAACTGCTGGAGAGAGGAGGAAAAACACATGATAGCCATTAGCTATAATAATGGAGTCTTAGATTTGTTTGGTTTGGGTTGTTGTTTTAAAATCATAGACTAAGATCCTAGACATAAAGACAGACCTCAAAATAAGATAGATTCAGAGAGATGTGAGTGCTTTGATCTAAAGAGCCCTGAATTATATCTAGAAATGCAAAGCTCCTGAGAAGGCTTACTTACATGCAGGTAGAATGAAAATGGAAATGGTACATGGGTATTTGCAAAACTTGCAAAAAAAAAAAACAAACAAAACCCTTCGAAAAAGGCAAAATGGAAAGTCTCATAGTAATTACCACCATTAATTCCTTTTTCTGATGTGCACTTGCTAAGATCTCCTGCCATTCTTGATCAACAAATAGGCTGTGTGGGTGGCTCTGTTAATCTCGATGAATGACTGATCTCTTTAAGAGATGGTCACGACATTCCAAACCCTTTGGACGACAGAGATGGTCATAGTTCTCCTCAGTGGCCTTTAATCTCAGCAGCCTGTACATTGTAAATCCGTGAAGACAAAGAAGGTGCCTATTTCACATAGCACCAGGCCCACAGTGGGGAGCAAAATGCTTGCTGCAACATAGATGCTCAGTCAATACTGGCAAATATATTTGTAAGAGGTGCATATCCCACAATCTGATACTGAAAACTGAAGGAGAAACTCAATCTTATAGATTAGTTCATCAAACTAAGCATTGTTATTTATCTGCTGTTTATTAATTAATAGTACTAGCTAAAATTTGTTGAGGACATGTTTTGTACTATGTCCTATTTTAGATGCTTTATATTCATTGTTTTCAGTTGCTATTAAAAGTCCATAGAATAGATAGTTTAGAGCAGTGGTAAGAACACTGGCATTCGTTTAAAGACTTAGAGCAAATCATTCAACATCCCCTTGCCTCAGTTTCCTCAGCTGTGAAGGGGGGGATAATATTGTTTCTCACAGAAAGCTGTCTTCAATATTAAATGAAATTTTGCCTGTACGTAGTAATGACAAAGAGATCAATCCGACAAGAAACTATAACATTTTAAAATATTTATGTATCCAACATAGAAGAAACTAAATATGTAAAGCAATATCAGCAGACCTAAAGAGAGTAATGGACAGCAGTTCAATTGTACTAGTGAATGTTAATATACCACTTAACATCAGTGATGTTCAGACAGAAAATCAATAAGAAAACAATAGACCAAATGGATTTAATAGATACATACATAGCATTCCTTCTAAAAGCGGCAGCAGTATACACATTTTTGTTGAGTGCACATAGAACATCCTCTAGAATAGATCATATATATTTTTTTTTTTTTTTTACAAATAGTTTATTGTCAAATTAGTTTCTACATAACACTCAGTGCTCATCCCCAAAGTGCCCTCCTTCATGCCCATCCCCCCCTCCCCCCCACATCCATCAGTCCTCAGTTTTTGTCAGCATTCAAGAGTCTCTCATGGTTTGCCTCTCTCCCTTTCCCCCACCATTTCCGCCCTTCTTCTCCCCCTTGTTCCTCCGTCAAGTTCCTCCTAATCCTCCTATACGTGCAAACATATGGTATTTGTCCTTCTCTGCCTGACTTATTTCGCTCAGCATAACACCCTCAAGGTCCATCCATGTTGCTACACATGGCCAGATTTCATTGTTTCTCATTGCCTTGTAGTATTCCATGGTATAGATAAACCACATCTTCTTGATCCATTCATCTGTTGATGGACACTTAGGCTCTTTCCATGTCTTAGCTATTGTGGAGAGTGCTGCTATGAACATTGGGGTCCATGTGCTCCTATGCCTCAGCATTTCTGTATCCCTTGGGTAAATTCCTAGCAGTGCTATTGCTGGGTCATAAGGGAGTTCTATTGTTAGTTTCCTGAGGAACCTCCACACTGTTTTCCAGAGGGGCTGTACCAGTTTACATTCCCACCAACAGTGCAGGAGGGTGCCCG